TGGAGTAACTGAACACTGAGAAGCCTGGTTCTTGTATCTGTTAGAAATAAGCACATTAAGTAACACTGCCAGACGGATGCATTTACTTAAAATATTCATGCATTGGGGTGAATCTTACAATTAAGTGCCCATTCCTTTGAATAAGTTGACTTATGACAATACTGTTGAGTGAACCCAGAGCTAAAATAGTGTGTGAAACTCACTGCTCACTTGAATACAAATATTTACCTGTTAAAATATCTGAAGTTGGCAACTGGTTAACCAGATAAGTGCTAAACAGTGAATAACCATGGCAGATGTGACAGAAAAGAATATTGATCCTTGTGAGATGAAGGACTGGTTAGAGGGAGCGTTGACGCTGCTCACAGAATCCTTAAATCCATATGGTGAACAACATGAACTCAAGAGAGTTATTGGACGAGCTGAAGGATGTTGCAGAGAGTGTGACCTCTACAGCCAGAACAACGTCGAGCTATGACCAGCTGGCTAAATTGGCGCTCTTATTGAAAGCAACATTCTATGCTGTGGTGAACAGAGCTGACAACCTTGAAATAAGGTTAAACAGTGAAAAAGATGAGTACCTCAAACTCATGGCACAGTCTAAATTTGATCAGGAGACCCATGCGAATGAGTTACAACGTGAGAGGGAGCTCTCACAAGCTCAGCTATCGTTACAAGCTCACTCATATGAGGAGAAGATGAAGGAAAGGGAGGTCAAGTACCAAAAATTGTGTTCAGACAACAATGTTCTACAACAACAGTTGTAGCTCACATCAAAAGCTTTGAACGGGTGCAGATTGGAAAAGGAGGCGTTGGTCGAACAAGGCGTGCATTTACAAAGTGAATGTCATACATCATAGGAAAGCTTGAAAGCCTGTGTGGCGAAACTAGCCGTAGCAACAAATAAGATTTCTGACGTGGGGCGAGGTTGTCTGGAACTCAAGGCCGTACAAGGTCAGAGTCCAGGTCACCCACCACCACCTCAGAAGGATTTTGTTGCACCTCCTGCTCTTAATCCCATTCTGTCACCTCCTCATGTGTCTAGCGACACACCTCCATGTACAGTTTTAATTCCTACGATACTGAGAAAACAGCCTTTGCTCCCAATTTCGGATTTATACAAAATTGCAAAATATGTCAATCGATTTGAACCAGGGCCGTTGGGTTCAACTGACACTAAGGCCTATCTGGACAACCTTGACTTCCAATTAAGAAGCTATCCCAACGCTACAGTTGAGGATAGAGTAGGTTTGATCAGGCTCACTTCATCTAGGACGGTGTTTTCCTTCATAGAGCGTCAACCTGATGCCACAAGAAAGGATTACCGCCTGTTATGTGCTGCTCTTATGAAAGAGTATTCACTTTGCACGGGACCTGGCGGGTATCCAGCCACCGACAAGGTCATACAAGGTAAGAATGAGCACCCCAGGGCATATTATTCCAGGATTTTGCAGGCTTATTTTGGTTACAGGAACGAGGCCAACATGGAGGAAGAGGAACCGTTTAAGTGCGTGTTCAGCAAAAATCTCCACCCTGACATAAGGATGTCGGTGCAAATGATGGCTAATTTCAAAGAAAAATCCATCAGTGAGATAAAAAGTTGTGCTGTGAATGTTTTTGAGGCACGTTCACAGGCCAAAACACCCTTTGAGGTGTACCCAGGTGAATGGATTCCTGCCCAGTCATTAGAATTGGAAAGGACGAGAGCTTAGACTCCCCCTCCCAAAAAAGGCGAGAGGAAACGAGGTTTCCCAGCAGCCAAACCACAACAGGTGAATGCCCCCTGGTCCAGACGAGATCCTAAACGGTTTCACAAGGAACCAGAGGATGAACGATCGTACCAGAAGGGGGGCAAACGCCCTAAGGGTAAATAGTATGGCACCAAAGGTGGCCCATACAAACAGAGAACCCCAAAGGGGGGGTACTGTTTCCCCACCACGTTGGGCTGAACAGCCTGAGACGAAAAAGAAACAGTAGCAGGTCCAGAAAAAGAACCGCAATCCTCTGAGCTCGGATGAGACACACAGTTGGTTGGTTGTTGGACTTGTTGGATGGTGTTGCCACGGACAAACAACCTAACACTTTGTTTGGCGATATCATTGCTGATAAGTCAGAGCACACAGACAACACCGTTACTGCTGTCACAGACAGTCACCATGACGCTGTTGTTGTAAACTCTGACATACCCTCACCTGAGATGGGGGGGGGGGGGTACAATCACACGTCACCGACTGTAACCCGTCACAAACTGAAACCTCAGCAGCAGCAATAGCTGTGTTAACAGTTCAGGGTGTCACAAACAACAAAGTTGCCGCTATCTCAGACAGCAACCAGAACCTTGTTGTTACAAACAATGAGAGCCCCTCAACACACAGTGTGGGGGTGAACTCATCAATGACAGACAGCCGTCAAAAGCCGAACTCTCAGGAGCAGCAGCAACTGCACCAACGGTTCGGAAAAACCAGGATTACACAGGTAAAGGTAAACGTGTGAAGAAACCACGGCCAAAACCTACAAGGTTCCTGTGTAACCTGATCAGAAAGGGTGTCGCTAATAAAGCTTACCTGTCGATCACACTTGAAGGGGTCGTCACACATGAAGCCTTACTGGATGGTGGAGCCGACATAACTGTTATGTCAGCTAAACTGTTCAAGGAGCTCAGGACTGCCGCTAACGGTGTTCACAGGGAAATTCCTCTCATAGAATGTGCTATAGGATTGCAGGGCCTCGCAGAGACAGGGACAACACTGACAGCTAGAGCTATGGTTCACATGCAGGTTGGCGAGATGACACTATACCACCCGGTATGTGTGTTGTAAAGAACATATCTGTGAGATAAAATTCATAAATTAAACGGATTCTTTCATTTTTCTGGACTGAATAATATCGTGCATTGAATGATTAAATGTGACGTGAGACGTTAATTTTCTTTGACCCATCAAAATGAACGTGGTCATTTATTAACAGAATCAAAATTTAACATCAAACATTTACATTAATTTGGCAACATTGATTTCAACAACAGCTTAATTAATTAGCTTTACAATTAAAAACCATACGGCCATGGTTTCACTTGCAGCTTTACAACAGACATTTCTGAAAATATCTGGATTAATTACTGGCAGATAGAAGAGTTTTAAAGATGGGAAAATGAAGTTTGAATGGAGAGAGATGGGTGAGGGAAAATGTGTCTGTATAAGAACGGCACTCTCCATCCGAACCCAGCTTTACCATTTCCAGCGTCTCCGTAGGATGGTTGGAAAACGTCCGGAGTAGTGACGGTACTTCGTTCAACACACGTTCACCTCACGGGTGGACTCACATGAGGAGTAAGTCCGTCAGAGGTTCCACTCAGATGTGGAAGATTCCATAATCCCCACGAGACTCGGAACTTTGTTCTGCGTTCTGCGTTCCGAACTGCATTCTGCACTCCGAAATGAACTTTGTTCAACTTAGTTCCCGTTGTTCTCGTTGTTCATTCCAGCATTCTGCATTCTCCTTGGAACTAGGAAGTGTTGAACCTTTTAAAGAGGTCACTTCCGGTTCCTCTGAGAACTTCCTGATTGGTCGAAACGAACCAACAGGGTGTGGTTTTAGTGATGTAGGAGGTTATTAAAAGTCAAGGAGAAAGATTAGGTTGTTTAAGAACAGACAGAAATATGTTTTGAAGAACCAGAGACTTTTTGAGCAAGTTCTCCTACTATCTATCTGAAAAAGTTAAACATGACATTTCTTTCCAATAAACATGTAGTTGACCGAAACTTGACTTTTGACCGACTTACAACTTGCTCATTTCAGACAGAAAATCAAAATGCATAATTACTCTTGTAACAAACATTAACTTGATTTCTACTTTGAATGAGGATTAAAAATCATTTATACTGTTTCACAGTTGATTTAAAATGAGTAGTTCACTTCAACATTTAAAATGGTTTGAACTAAACACACTTTTGATTATCAAGACATTTGTAAAACAGTAATGATAATAAAAAAGTGAGTGTTCTTTCAATTGATCAGTGCAGGACACACTTAGAAAGTCTCTGGATGAACTTAATTTTGTGTTTCTGGACTCAAATCAATGAAATGACAGTTCTTGTCCCAGGAAGGCCCTCAGGGCCAGATTTGACCTGAGGCTTAGTTCACTACAGTGTCTATGGTTGACTCATTCCCATTTTTGGTTGGCCAGGATTTTATAAATCGCTTTGACGCGATTGTAGATTATGGTACACAGACATTGTGGGCTAGAGTGAGCAA